CTCTCTCTCTCTCTCTCTTCCTGCATGTGCCATGTGTCCACAGCTGCTTGAGACACGAGAGTTCGAGCTTTCATGCTGCACGCCGGACGAGGCCGAAATCGCGAAGTAAAGGGTACCAACTCCTACTACTACGCGCACAACGAGGGATGGGAGGCGGACATGCCCGAAAGGGAAGTAGTCCCGCCCAGACCAGTCCGCCCTGCGACATGTTCTGGCACTGATTGAACCTGACTGCGCTAGGCTAGGAGTGTGTTGGCATAACGGCATAACGAATCCTGCGTGTTCGGCTCTTGCATTGCCGCGCTCATGTTGTAGGATTGTGCATGTCCCACTCCACCTGACATGTCCCAGCCCATCGCTGAAACCTCTCGAACACCTCTTGGAGCATTCCAGGTTCCCGAGAATGCCAAGGTGAGAGCTGGGCCGGGAACCCGACTTCCTTCCCCAACGGGCCCCCTCAAAGTGATGAGAGCGGCTCTAACCCATGACTATTACTATCATACTTCTACTGTTACTATTGCTGTTATTCTTATAGCGTTGCTATTGCGGCTCCGAGAGGGAGAGCAAGAGCCAGACAAGGCCCGGTCTGGTCACTGGCGGTGCCCCGGTAAAGCTTGGTGCGGGCCTCGGGAGTTATAGCCGCAGATAATGTGGGAGTTTGCTCTGTGCATCCTCAGTGTCGAGACTTCTGCGTTCCCTTGCGGCCCGTGCTCGTACTTGGGCTGAGCAAGCTTCAGAACCTCATGTTGCGAAGACCAGCACAAGACGTAGTTGATGAGCAGTCGTTTGCCGATTCATTCCCAGGTGCTGATGGCCAACCCAAGGACGGACACTTCTTCCGATGTTGCTAGCTACCGTGGTATCTGCAAGCCAGTGTAGAGAGCCAGAGAAGCGTCTCCGGAAGTTGCACCGATTCCATTGGTCCAAGGAGCGTCTAAGCTGTAAGTGGAACGGTGTTGCTACCTACCGAAGCTCTAAAATCAGCAGCACGCCAGGATCCTCATGGCCTGCGTAGCTTGGTGCAATCATACCTTGCTGTAAATGCAAGGAACTGGGAGATAATGTCATATGTTTCCCTAAACCCCAAGAAAACCCTAAACCTTCCATAAACCCTGAAATGCTAGTATGCCACTAGGCGAGTTTAGAAAAGGCGCAGGGAGGACTTACCCAGCAAATCAGGAGGCCGGCTACCCCAGCTCCGAAAACGATGGCCCACGTCTCAGCATCTGGGAGCCGAGCATGGAGGGATTGCGAACCCAGGAGCTAGAGGTAATGGTAGTTGTACTACTACTGTAGCAGGACTAGTAGGAATAGGAATAGCAATAGGAATGGGAATGGTAAAGATAATAAATAGTAAGTAGTAATAGCAATAATAGCCTGCAGCCCGATGATTTTCCAGTGCGCAAGCTCCCGAACTCGGCCGGAAGCTTCGTAATCAGCCAGAGCGGCAGGCATGCACGCAGTGTCTCGCAAATACAAGGCTAGTAAACGACTCGTCCTGGCGTGCTTGCATGCTCTCACCCAGAAGCCCTGAGACTTTAGACACGCTTCGACAAGAACACGGCACAGAGCTAAGCCAACAGGCCAAGAGCTCCTCTGTTGCCAGGCGAGGGAGCCTCCGCCGAGGTGGTGGCGGAGTTGCGGCGGAGGGTGGAAGAGCTGGAAGGCCCGGGCTCAGGGTGTACCTGTAACCAAGAAGATCTGCCTGTTTAGGGTTCCTTTTTCTATATATAGTTTCTTAGAAAGGTGGGTCTTTTCGGTTACAGGTAGGGTTTATCAAACAGGGTTTAGGGTTTCGGGTTCAGGGTTTATGAAAAGGGCATCAGGGTTGAGGATGTAGGGTTTATCAAAAAGGACTTAGGGCTTCGGGTTTCGGGATCTAGGTTTTAGCAAGACCGTCCAGGGTTTGGGTTTTGATTCACCAGACTGTGGATGGGTTTGGGCCTTGAGTGTATTCAGTGTTGTGGCCATCGCCAGAAATCTGGATGCTAAAGAAGGATTCAGCCGCCAATTAAGCCTTCCAAGGAGTACTCTTGGGGCAGAGTGTTCGCATATGGGACTGTGCGATCAAGTACGTTGTGATACAATTTCCCAGCCACGTGCATGCATAAATGATGTAGGGCTACCACACCCACCCCATGGTCCTTCTCCGGTGGGGCCTGCGGTGGTACCCTTCCCCCCATCCCACCCCGCCCCTGTGTGGTGGGCTCTGCACCCCCCTTAGCTGAGGCTTTGGTTGGCCTGAATTGGAATACGTAACACGCGTAACACAAGGATCTGTTGTCACGATTACTCAACTACTGTTACGTGGAACTTGAAGAGCACTTGTTCCGATCTTCTCCCCCACCATTCATGTCTACAGTCGCATCTACTGTGTTCGTGCGGCCTGCATCCGCCGGTCTTGAAGTTCTTTGTGTGTTACTCCTTGTCTTCCTTCTTGCTGTGGCACTGGCGGTACTGCTCATGATGTTATGCTGCTCTAGACGGCGACGCGAGTCGACAATCATATCATCTTTGACATCATGCTCAACATCATCATTGTCGTCGTCATCTCCATCATCAGTACCATCAAAAGAATAACTGCCACCATCATCGCCATACAAGCATTGTAATTCATGTCTGAGGAGGGAAACTACTGCGCAGATTGCCGCTTTCCGCACAGGGCATGGGTGGGGTACCATAGGGGGTGGGTGTCCGCAGGGGCGGGCAACCAAGCCGCACCAGCATGGCAGGGGTG